AGTGTATTGTTTTCCAATTGAGTCTGGTTTTCACAAAAATTTTTATTGTTATTTATGTATGTGCATCTTTCAGCGCTTTCATTATTATTCTCTGAATTCTGAAAAATGTACTCTATTAGCTTTCAATAGCCGGTTTTCATTGTTATAAATCGAGACTAACAAAATCGCTCTACAATTTGTATGACTTCCAATGCTCAATTACAGTTATTATGTAAATTCGTTGTTGTCATTTTCTTGCTTACACACAGGCTCTTTGCATAGATGCTTCAAATATTTTTACTAAAAAAGTTATTATAGAATAAAATAAAATAAAATAAAATGAAATAAAATAAATTAAAATAAAATAAAATAAAATAAAATAAAATAAAATAAAATAAAATAAAATAAAATAAAATAAAATAAAATGAAATAAAATAAAATAAAATAAAATAAAATAAAATACAATAAAATAAAATAATATAAAATAAAATAATAAAAATAAAATAAAATATAATAAAATAAAATAAAAATAAAATGAATCTGTTTTATTAGGAGGACATACTCAGGTTATGTAAAAAGCGGAGAGGATTATCTGATGCATTTTACTTTTCGCTGTCAACAACGGCTTTCAAATTAACTTCCAAAGTTCGTCATTGCCCTAAAAAGGCTCTGATTTGAAGCAGTTTTCATTCGAAGAGGTATTGTAATGAGCTTAAGATACCCATGAGCCACATCTCTGCGTAGTGAGTTATGATTTTTTTGTTGAATTCGAGTCTTGCTAAAAATATATATTCCAAGAAACAAAAATATAATAACAAATTGTTTTCTTGTTTTTTTTTTATTTCTATATTTTTTAATATTCATCTGGTCACTCTCTACTAATTCAGCCAATCCTGTGGCACGCCGGCCAACGTTCGACGATATTGCAGCACTCATGTCACATTAATTACCGTTGACTGTCACATTGCGTAGCACTCTTGTCTTATTTTTGCTGAAAGAAAAAAATTAAATAAAAATTGTAATAAGAAACAGGCGAAGTAACGTCAAAGACATTATTGACCAACAGAAGCACATAAAAATTAAAGCGAATGACGGACGATCAACAGCAAGCAAGCTAGCCAACTGTCACACACACACACAAACACACTTTCAACAGCGCATTCAGTAGCCCCACAGCTGTCTTCGCAGTAGTCTTCGCTGCGGTTTACCGCTCTGTCAACGCCATTTAATGTCAAAATATAATTTTTTGACAAATCGTAAATTGAATGAGATGAAATGGTTGAAATGTGAAACTGTAAATAAAAAAAAAAAAAAACAAAAACAAAGTGTTGCTTAAATATGTCAGAACGAATAAACAAACGGAAGGGCGGCCGAATGCATGGTCAGTGGCGAAGGCGTATACCCGCATTTACTCAAATACTTACACACGTACATACATATGCACAGAGTTAATTGTTTGATTTAGAGCGTGAAATCGTCGTTGGGGTTGTCTTTGTAGAATTTCTCATTTATTATTATAGTTCGCTGTTCTCCGCATAGCGAGGGTCCCATGCACTTGCTAAATGCTTTTAATTGTTGGCACATTTACTTGAAACTTATATGAAAATAATTGTTTAGCTATTTATACACATACATACATAAGTATGATAATATGATTAATGTGATTATTAAAAGAAAAGCTGTAATTGAGTCAGTGGAGGGGTGTGGGTCTGACCGACACTTAAGTTCATAATCGTTAGCTAATGTGGAGGGTGTGGAACTAATTATTTGGGTTGACATTTGCCTAATAACTTACAATATATTCAACATAATTTCGAAAGCTAATTAAGATCCTGGAATTATGTTCACACAGGCACTCAATTAGTTAATTGAGCGCTAGTTTGGTAATTAAACTTCCATTAAACTAGTTCCAATAAACTTTACTTTACTTTTTACACTTTGAAGATTTTTGGAAAAAATCTATTTATTTCTTGGGGCTTATACGTCTAAGGAAAAATTGCCTTTTTGTAACGTATTTAAAGAGGTCTCTCGACGCAAGAGATTCTTTAATCCACATATTGAGCTAAAGAAATAAATAAGGATTTGCGCCCGAGCCCTCCGAATGGCTGTTCGCACTGCTAGCCACTCGGCTACAGCGGACGCCAAATAAATATATTACATGAAAATTTCCTTTTTACTTTTTTTCTCTCTATAAATATCAGCGATGAATAACGTGATAGACCTTTCCTTAGCGAAAGCAGCTTTTTCACGTAATTTGAACATTTTTTTATACAAAAATTGGGTTGAAGCTTCACACATGTTTTCTCTGACCAGCAAGTCTCTCAGTCATAGTCCATAGTATATAGAAATTATTGTGAGACAGCTGCATCATCCAATCACTCTCGGAGAAGTTGATGAATATGCCCTTCCCTCGTTTGAGTGTGTGGCTGTAAAGTTCATTTGAAGAATTCCAGAACTTTGCCCAAAACCACGTGGCTTGGGCATCACAACACTAAATTTTCTAATTAAGTAATATTTTTATTTTAGTTTTGGCTTAACTTCACTCTTTATTTCTTAATTTAAATTTTTATTTTTCCATTTTAGTTTTTTTAATCCTTTTTTTTTAATTTTTGCTTTTTTATTTATTTTATTTTATTTTATTTTATTTTATTTTATTTTATTTTATTTCATTTTATTTTATTTTATTTTATTTTATTTTATTTTATTTTATTTTATTTTATTTTATTTTTATTTATTTAGATATATATATATATTATCTTTATACTTGAGTACCACTCTAGCGGTTAATCATAAAAAAATATATATAAAAAAATAAATACTTCCTCTCGAGGGTCATTAAGCGTTCGCAATAGAATTTCAAACACCTATCGAATGGCATAAAATGAATTAAAAATCGTCATAATTATTTTTAAAATGTGTATATTTGTAAATGTAAATGTTTGTATACAAAAATTAAAAATAAAAATTGAAAAATTACGTGAGTTTTATGAGAATTCCAAAAGGCAATAATTAAAATGTGAGAAACTGAAAATGCAAAGGAAGTTGTCTAGAATTAATTTAGACAATATTTATACATTGTACACACACATACAGAGAGCGATGGCAGTAAATAGTGGACAACACACACGCGCCTAACTAATCGTTATGATTTGCATATAAATTACTGAGAAAGAATGTTACGGCAACATGTTGCAGGAAAAAATGAAAAGTTGGAATGGAAAAGTATATTCATAGAGAATGAAATGGAGAGAGAAAAAGCGCCGAAAATGTTTTTGATAAAAAATTTTTTTAATTATTAATTTTTTTTTTAATTTATTAAAATTTAAAGATTTTTTATTTTTAATTTTTTAATTTCTTCTTTGGTTATTTTCGACCAACACATGTTCCTGTAAAAATGTTGACGAAAGGGTGTTGCACGCAAATCAACTAAATAAATTCAACATAAATAAAAATATGCAGCAAAAGAACCTGTATTTTCTATTTCTTTTTCTGCTTCTTCTTAATATTTGATTGTCTTAATTGCTTAACGCCAACGTGCTGAGCGTATAAATACATATATATATATGTATGTATATCTGCATGTGTGCACGGTTTGTTGTTCGACAAAAGCCGCCTACCTTTCGATGGTAGGAACACGTTGGAAAGAAAAAGAGAAGGAAAAAATGGAAAAAATCACATATGTTTTTCATATACGATGACACTGCAGGCACATACAAACACACACACACCCACACTCACAAACACACTGGCAACCGAAAACCCACATGTTTCGAGCGTCGAAATGCCGCAACTCCACAGAACTGGTTCTGCCTACATGCAGTTTTTGAGTGCTTACTACACGGAAGAGCTAAGGCACTCAAGTGCTCGCTGGGGCTGTGTTGCAGCAACATGTTGCGCACTGAAGTTATTATTTGAGTGTAAAATTAATGTTGCTCGCGACTTCTTTATTGGTTTTAAGTTGTTTTATGATTTTTTTCCAAAGCAATTCACTCAGTCACTCACGTTGCTTGCTTTATATGAGCACTTTTTGTATATTATTCTTCATTATTTACTCACCAGCCATGCGAGTAAGTGGCGCTCATGTAAATTTCACTCTTCCTCTCCATGTGCTCTCTTCGAGCTGAGTGTATGCTAGAGCCGCTGTGATATACACGATCCCGGCTAGCGTGACTAGACCTTAGTCTGATTGAGTAGCGTGACGTGTGTGGTATCTTAAGTTCGCATGCAGAGTTGCTTCAATGAGTCGGAGAAATACAAATGAAATGAGGCAATTGGAATAATGTTGAATAAAAGTTGTGCACGCAAATTAACGAAATATTTCAAAAAACGAAATTTTTGAAACAAAAAAAAAATTAAAATAAAAAAAGGAAATAAAAACTAAAATTATTAATAACATCAAAAGCGCTATAGAAACAGCTAAATGTGAAACTAAACAAATACACATACACAAATATTTAAGTACAAATAAGAAAAGTGAAACATATGTGTCAGTTATAAAGTGAAAAATAAGAAAAAAAATAGATTGCTGAAATAATAAAAAATAACCAAAACTGAAATTTAAAACTTATTTATAAACAAATATAGTTCGAACCACAAAAAACTATTTTCAATAATAGTATATTGAAAATTAGAATCTGTAAATAAAACTTATTGTGAAAAACCACAACCAATAATTAAAATGTTAGAAATAGCAATTTTTAAAAAAAGTTTTAAACTCAAAAAATATATATTAATTAATGAAAAAATTTAAAACTTGTGACATGTGAAAAATCTGTTAAATAGGGTTTCTAAAAAGATTTTAAATAAATTAATTTAAATTAAAAAATAAATCGATTTCAAAAACCCAATTAAAAAAAACGCTGAAAGCACCAAAATTTTAATCAAGTTGGAAATTGTTTCAAAATAAAATTAATTTTGAAAAAAATTGAAAATTCCACAGGCAGTTGTAGCAAAATATTGAAAAACAAAGATTTTTAAAAAATGTTTTGAAAAGTGTTATAAAAAAAAATTAAAAAAAAAATTAAAAAAGGGTATTGAAAACAGCTGTTTAAAAAGTGTGAAAAAATTTGAAAAAAAATCACTCAAACATACAATTTCGATAGCTTGCGTTTTTAAAAGCATAGAAGAACAAAAAGCACTTCAACAACAGCAACAACGAACATTACTTGCAACACCTGTGTATATATGTATGTGCATATATCTCGAATCAGTGCAACATAACATTTGCGACAGCTGCAGATGGTTCGTTGAAATATAAAACAACAAAATTAAGATATAACAAAAACAACAATAAAAAAAACTAAAATAACAACAGCTACCGCTGAATATATAAGCACAAAACAAGTGCACATATGTACATGTTGCTACATACAGACATATGTATATTTAGAATTATTCGTGCTGCTCATGTGCCGGTATTCACATATTAATATCAAAACAACAACAAATCTTCATACTAACCATATATGTATGTATGTGCGTGTCTATTAAGTGAAATCGCGTTGAGAGCAAGCCATCTCTGCAGCACGTTGCATTTGGATTACGCATTACGCATTATTGAGGGGAAAAATTAAAAAAAAAAAAACAGCAATCAAGTGACCGCAAAAGTTGTATGCAAAGAATACGAAATAATAATAATAAAAATATAATTGCAAGACATATATAATTATCTGCATATTTGTGCATAGCACATAATTTACACGCTTGTGCTACCGCTACCGCTACCGCTGCTGCTGCTGCTGCTGCTGCCTTTACTGGCTTGTTTTCAATACGGATATTGCAACATTGCGACGACCTTGTGGAAAATTGCATACCTTATGCACTGCAATTGCTAAGCGTGCCCAGTGGCTGCGGTGTACAGAAGTATACATATATATATGTGTGTGTAAATATATGCATGTGTTGTTGTGCGTTGTAATTTTCTACATTAATTGAACACAGTTCTGCGAAAAAAAAAATTAAGAAAAAAAAATTGCTAAAAATTTCATAGCACCACTGTTGATTGGATTTGCTGCCACTGGCTCTTCAACAGACAAAAAAAAAGGTAAGTGAAGAGAGTAATTTTTTTTATTATTAAGTGAATTGCCTGCAATTGGTTTAAATGCTATTTTTTTAGACTAAAAATATATTTTTTTTAAGTTGAATTTTTTCGTTTACTAATACGTGAATTGAATTGAATTTTTTTATTTACTTTTAACTTAAATATGTATTTTAATTTTACCATATATTTCGTTTTTAAACATATATAATTTTGTTTTTTATTCATAATTCCCATATTTTAATTATTTATTTATGAAATTGTTAATTTATTTTTATGCACGCATTTGTAACTAAAATATAACTTTTCCTTTTGAACTTGCCATAGAAATCCATAAATCAGCTTTGGCGCCTATATGTAGGCCACAAAGCGCATTAATTGCAATTTAATTGCAACGTACATCAAGAGTTATGTATTTATAATATTTTTTATTGAGTTTTAGTGGCTTCAAAAAAAAAAACACTTAAGGAGATTACAACTGTTCAATTTTTTCGTAAATTTTTTTTTTTATATTATATGAATTTTTTTAAATTTTTTTTTGAGAAAGCTATAAATATTTTGGGCCGTAAAAACAACTTTGAAGAGTGAGGTTGTTGATTCTATATATATATATTTTATAAAATATTTTTTTTTGCTTTTTTTTTTGGAAAAATTATAATTATTATTAATTTGATCCGCTACATAGCTCATTGAAAAAAATATATTTTTTATTTTATATTTTTTTGATGAAATTTTGAAAATAAAATTTGGTGAAAATATTATAAATATCTTTTTTGACATGTCAATTGATGTAATTTTTAATTATTACATATTCAAATATTTTTTTTTGTCTCTCCTTCATATGAAAAAATGCAAGAAGCACCTTAAAAAGTAATAATTTTCATAAATTTTACATATTTGCTCTTTGAAAAATACAATTGTTATATGTGTTTCCAAAAACATATTAATAATTTTTTTTTTAAATCAAAGTTGTTATGTTTTTTACCAAACAATTATTAATTATTTTTCCTTTTTTTTTTTTGAAAAAATACAAATATATTTTTCCCCTAAAGAACACTTTGATGTAATTGTGAAAGGTTCCAACTTTTCAATACATATCGTACATACATTTGAGCGCTTGTATTTATTTTTATTTATTTTTAATTTTCCACAATAGAAACACTGTGTGTGGTCTTCGTGTCTTTTGAAACTTTCTTTTATCGATTTGACTTGTATAATGACTTTATTTCCGATACGTAAGCATTGTTATTTAAGTTACTTTAGCCATTACATTCTTAACTCATTTTTTCAACTCTCTTTTAAGTACTCCTTCTTTTTTATTCTAAATTCTTGTTATGGTTTTAAGAACTTTTATTTCATTTTTCCAGCCTCTGTTTTAGTTATTTATGTATTCTTCTCTATTTTTATGCCCATGCTTCCTCTCTTCTCATTGTTCTACATATTTTTCTTGTCCATACACATAATCTTAAATTATAGTTCTTACCGCCATACAGTCTTATGAAGCTTAGTCTGAAGCGCCGACACTTAATTACCACTCAAACTCAGTCGCGTTCAGACACACAATTTCTTTAGTTATGATTTGAACTTCTTGGATTTTATTTTGTTTTTATTTTGTATAGTGAGGAAATAATTACTATCAATGCAACCAAACATGGTTATTATGCATAATTCCACATAGAAGATATGGGCATTCCAATGAAAATAATACAAAGCCTTGTACTATGACGTTGCTAAATATAATTTCATATTACGAATGTACTAGTATTACGTATGAGAACCGATATTTATCGTTTATTTGTATCTACAAGTATTGCCTGTATGACGAATTATGTAAGCGACCTAAATAATTGGTGATGTTATGGGAATTCTAAATAAAACGGAAGACTTCAATCTATAAATTCTATATATTTTGCGTACTAAATTATTTTAAATTTCATATATTAAATAAAAGAAATTATTATAAAAAAGTAATATAATTAAATAAAATAAAATAAAATAAAATAAAATAAAATAAAATAAAATAAAATAAAATAAAATAAAATAAAATAAAATAAAATAAAATAAAATAAAATAAAATAAAATAAAATAAAATAAAATAAAATAAAATAAAATAAAATAAAATAAAATAAAATAAAATAAAATAAAATAAAATAAAATAAAATAAAATAAAATAAAATAAAATAAAATAAAATAAAATAAAATAAAATAAAATAAAATAAAATAAAATAAAATAAAATAAAATAAAATAAAATAAAATAAAATAAAATAAAATAAAATAAAATAAAATAAAATAAAATAAAATAAAATAAAATAAAATAAAATAAAATAAAATAAAATAAAATAAAATAAAATAAAATAAAATAAAATAAAATAAAATAAAATAAAATAAAATAAAATAAAATAAAATAAAATAAAATAAAATAAAATAAAATAAAATAAAATAAAATAAAATAAAATAAAATAAAATAAAATAAAATAAAATAAAATAAAATAAAATAAAATAAAATAAAATAAAATAAAATAAAATAAAATAAAATAAAATAAAATAAAATAAAATAAAATAAAATAAAATAAAATAAAATAAAATAAAATAAAATAAAATAAAATAAAATAAAATAAAATAAAATAAAATAAAATAAAATAAAATAAAATAAAATAAAATAAAATATAATAAAATAAAATAAAATAAAATGAAATAAAATAAAATAAAATAAAATAAAATAAAATAAAATAAATTAAGATAATATATAAAGAAAGTAAAGTAAATTAATATATCATAAAATGTTTAATTAAATTTTTTTTTAATAAAGTAAAATAATGCTGTAAATTATGTTAGGAAAGCTACAATATTAGTAATTTAACTACACGTGATGGTGCAGGAAAATTCTTTTAATAAAGCATACTTACAAATTATAACTTTATGACGTTATCTTTTTATCTCATAAAACGAATAAAAATGATTGTAGAAACATTAAAAAAGCTCATGAAAAATATTTAACTTTATACTCATTACCAAAAATTCCATCTAAAATCAATAAAAAGAAAAAATGCTAATTAAATCATAAATAACAATTAAATATGCGTAAATGAAATCAAAACCTCCGATAAACACAAACATCACAGCTAATAAAAACATTGATTTATTTAATAGCCTGTTGTTGAGTTTAAAAAAAAGCAAGGAAAAAAGAGAGAATATAATTTTTTAATAAAATTAAAAACTATAACAAAAAAATCAGTTTTTTGTTAGCTCACAGCTTCCACTACCTTTTACAGTCAACTCGTAGGTGGGCAATGGAAGCGACCAGGTTTGTAGCTTGGCATTCTTTATTAATAAGCTAAATAAATTCACATTTGAGTAGCTATGGACAGCAGCAGAATATACTAGTTTTCTATAAATAAAGAAATTTTAATAAACAAACGATATGTTTATAAAATTCGGGCTGTTTTGGGAATCTATATTTTAATATTATGAAATTAAAAATTATTAATAAAAAATATACATAAATATAAAATAAATAAATATGTAAACTTATAAAAAATATATAAATAAATATGCAAAATAAAAAATTATAATAAAAAATGTAAAAATCAAAACTAAAAAGCACCACCAATAAATAAAAAATTAGGTAAAAATATAACTTAAAAAAATATAAAGACAAAAAAATTTAGATTAAATAAACAAATAAATAAATAATTAAATAAGTTAATGAAAAAACTAATTAAATAAATTGGCATATTCAATGTAGAATAATTTTAATCTGAAAATAAAAGTTTTGCATTTTCAAAAATATTAATTTATTCATTTATTAAAACAGCTCAATAATTTATTAAACACCTTTATAGCAATATATAAGCTCTCACAGCATATTAATAGCACAACTTGGCTAGTAATAAATCTTAATAGACGCCTGTTTATGGATGACAAAAAATGACCAAATAAATTAAATATGATTATGGAAGAGATTAATTAACAAAAAAGCCTGAACACAAAAAAATAAAAAATATCACAGAATTATTTAAATATTTTTGGCATTTGCAATTCTCCAAGACACTACAACTAATTATTGTCTGATTCCCATTCTCTCCGAATAGGCCTCATTTAAAATGCTAGACATTCATTCAGTCTCATTTCAATTTCCAATTTGGCACTTGACAACTGCCAATATACGCTTATTTGGCATTTCTAAATACTGTTACACCCGCATACATACATATCTACATATAATGAAAAAAATATGTAAATCATTTTCAAGCAGGATAAATGTCAAAGACAAGTATTTGAATACATTCGCAAGTGAAGCTGCGTCAGACACACGAAATATTCCAAGAATTTTCACAGTAGCACTTCAAAACAAGAAACTGTTTGTAAATATTTGCAATTTGATGATATTGAGCGGGTGAATTGTGTATTTGTAAGTATGTCACAATATGAGTGGCTTTAGTTGCGTTGAATTCTTCGTATAAATAAATATGTTAATTGATGACTAAGCCATTTTTAGCTGTAACTAAAGCGCCATGAAGGTGAAACGTGTCGACTGGTTATGAATAAAGCGGACATTTTTTGAAAAGAATAAGTAAATTAAATAAAAAATAATAAATACAAAAAAAAAATCAATTAAAAATTATAAAATTAAATAAATTGAAATAAAATGAGATGAAAAATATTAATTAATTAAAATAAATTAATTACAAGAAAATAAATAAAAAAAATAAAATAAAATAAAATAAAATAAAATAAAATAAAATAAAATAAAATAAAATAAAATAAAATAAAATTATTATTATAATTGATATAATTGAATTTACGTAATATAATTTTTTATATTGGATTTACTTTGAATTTCGATATTCTGCTTTTTGCAAACTTTGTTGTTATATCAACAACTAATCATTCAAATGCTTTTCAGTTTTGAATAGTCTGCTGTCCGTGGAAATATGTTGATACATTTAATAAGCTTAAGTTCGTTACTAAAGCTTAAGCTGCAAATAATTGGTAATATTTTATG